GTGTGTTACAGAGGATGCTGATTTAATAAGTCAAACAATTAGAGATTTTTACTGCAAACTTCATTCTTCCAACTTCCGGACTATAGAGCACACCTCAATATAAGCTGTACCAACAAAAAAAAAAAGGCTTTCTACACACACACGCTGCACTCGAATACAAGCCGCGGCTCAGCAGCCACATGCAGGTCTTCGGCGCACAGCGCATGTATGGGCATAACATAAGATAATTAGACAAAAAGACGCTACACGGAAGTTTTTCGTTGTTGTTTTAATTCAACAAAACAAATTTTAAACACCGGTGAATGTGCCTGCAAGTTTAGAAAAGAAAACAGCACTGATAGCATTCATATTTTTGGATGGTTATAAAATAAAAACAGCACTGACACATTATTACCGGTAATTTGCATGCATGTTTAGAAGAAAAGAACAGCGCTGACACAGCATTAATAAGCCCTGGATGATTAGAAAATAAAAACTGCACACAAAAACATGCCTGGTTAGTAAATAAAACACACTCGCCTACCAGAAAAAGTAATTCGCTCTCATCTTCCTCTTCCGCACTAAAGCCATTAAAGTCCTCTTCTTCAGTGTCGGAGTGGAACAGCCTCAGAAGAGCTTCGTCACATACCTTTTCTGTGGCAATGTCGGTGTCGCTGTCCGTGTTGCTGTCATCATCCCCGGGTGAAGCTGGCTTGAATGAGTTCTTCCCGCTGCCGTCTCAGCGCAGAACCATGGATTCATTCATGCTGAGCTTATGTGCTGCAGCACTGTTTCCCTCCTTCACTGCCAGATCGATGGCCTTCAACTTAAATGCGGCATCATATGAACTCATACGTGTAGTTACCATGGATTTAAAAATAATTCTTCGTCGTGCTGGCTGCTTGCATGTGCTAAATTAAAATGAGCACTTTCTTCGATTTCCACTTTTGACTTCCACCTGTTTCACTTTCTGCTAAAGCGCCCCCTGGCAGGTGAAGGAAAATCTTCAGTAAAGCCGCTCCTCATTATAAGCCGCATGGTTCAAAGCGTGAGAAAAAAGTAGCGGCTTATAGTCCGGAAAATACGGTATTCTGACTCTCACTGTAAGCACTTTTTTTTAGTGAAATCAGCAATTATATTGAAACAATTGACTTGGAATTTAAAACTGAAATGGATGGAAACCTAACACTTGAGGAGTTAGATAAAGCTATCCATCTAATGGCTAAAGGGAAGTCACCAGGCCTCGATGGCTTAACTGTTGAGTTTTGTGTTTTCTTTTGGAAAGATGTGTGAAATATGCTTTTTGAAGCTTTTTTGGAATGTATTTCAAATAACAGTCTCTCACCTACTATGAAACAAGGCCTTATAACCTTGATCCCAAAGAGCCAAAAAGGCTCATTGCTGTTAGATAATTGGAGACCCATTACTCCGTTATGTACTGACTATAAACTGTTGGCTCTGGTCTATGCATATCAGTTGAATCAGTCGAATGCCGGTTTAGATAAGGTTATTTATGAATGTCAATCTGCCTTTATGAAAGGTCGGAATATACATAACCACACCAGACTGATTCTGGATATGTTGGATTATAGTGAGTCTATTGACAATGACAGTTTGATTCTATTTCTGGATTTCTGTAAGGCGTTTGACTCATTAGAGAACTGTTTTATATCAGAAACCTTAAAATGTATGGGATTCGGACGGAAATTTTGTGACATAATCAAAATGTTCTACACCAATATCAGTAGTGCTGTATCTCTTGGTACTGGTATGACTTCTAGCTTTCCAATGTCCAAGGGAATCAGACAGGGATGTCCAATCTCTCAGAAACTATTCATTTTGACTACACAAATGCTTAGTCTGTTAATCATCAAGAACTTACATCCAACTTACATGGTATACAAATTTTTGATAAAGAATTCAAAATCAGCCAATTTGCAGATGACAGCCATTTTTCTAAAGGACTAATCCGTGGTTGACATAGCTCTTAAACTTATCTCCATTTTTTTCTAATGCATCTGGTTTGTTTCTCAATGTTAAAAAATGTGATCTGCTCCCAATTCATTCATGTTCCGAAACTTCCATTGCCTCCATTGGAGTTAAATCTGAGGTTAAGTACTTGGGAATTACTATTTCTAAAAATCCTGTTAAGAAAGAAGAGGTGAATATTGCCCAGCGTTTGGTTGACCTAAAAAAAACCTAAGTGACCATCTAACCTGGGATCTTACTATTTTTGGATGAGTTTTGTTCCAAAGTTGAGGGGGTATCACAATTAATCTACCTGTGTCAATCGGTGTTTACCTCTGATAGAAGTATAAAGAAGGCCAATTCTGGGTTGCTGTGCTCAGCGTTGGGCGGGGGAGCCTGCTCATCAGCACCCCAGCAGAAAGGGTCAAACTCTGGTTACCGGTGATGGTTGTACCCAATGTGCAGCAGTACCGGGACCAGAGTGAATAGGGTGTGTATGGGGAGCATGAGTGGGTGTCCGGCGTGCATTTTTGTAAGTCTTGGGTTGTATGTGCATGTGTGAGCATGAGGGAGGGAGCGTGTGACTGTGTTTGTGTATGACTGTATATGTCAGGTGGGGCCTTTGGGTCCTCCCCTCTCCTGGAACTTCTCTTGATAATATAGATCTCTGTCCCCCCTCCCCCTGCCACACCTGGTGTGGGGGGTTGTGCCATGGTCTGCCTGAGTGTTCTTGGCAACCGGGTCTGGGGGTTTAAGATTTTGGCATCTGCCTGTTAGATCCCGGTGGTTGCCTGGTGGGGTCTGGGTCCCTGGGCTCTGCTGGGTCCCCGGCGGGGGTGGTCGCCCCTGGGTCCCGGGTCGCTGGGTCCCGGGCTCGGCCGGCTAGGGGGTGGGAGGCTGCGGGCGGGCCTGTGGGCTTGCCGCTGATGTCTCCAGGGACTCTGCCGGCTGCTGGTTGTGGCCCCCCGGGGCGATCCTCTGTGCCTCTCGAGGGGGGCGGGGGCCTTCCTGGTTGCAGTCTCCTTGGGGTTCCTGCGTTCTGGGGCAGCGCCTGGATCTCTGGGACTTGGAGCTCCCCCCGTCTCCTGCGCATCTTTGGGGGGCGGATATGTGGTCCCTCACACTCTCTGTTGGACGCTCCTATAGAGAAACCTTACATAAACAAGCGCGTGTACACACACAGGTGCTCACATGGTGCTCTCAAAAGTATGGGCTTGAGCACGTTAAACACAGGTCTTAAGACTATGGTGGGCACTTAATGCGTTGTGATTTATTATCGTGATTCTTCAGTTAAGCAATGTTGATTATATATATATATATATTATTTTCATCAAGTTGACGCAGTGATAGGTAGATCTTGTTGTATTGTTGTTGTGTCCCTTTTTTTGTGTCCCTTTGTTTTTTTTTTTGTCTCTTTTTCTGCAGGTCTAGAAGCAGACTCTTGTTCATTTTTGTTTATTTTTGTGGAACCCCCCCCCCCCCCCCCCCCCCCCCCTCTCTCCCCACCTTTTCTTTTCCTTTACCTTTCACCTCTGTCTCCGTGTCTGGTCGGAATTACAAAGCATTCAACAACAATAACAATAAAGTTTTAAGTATCAGGCGTGACATTAAAAGCAAACGCTTTGATGCTCCACCTGAGAATAAATCTGTAAGACTTGTCACCAGCATTCAGACATCAATTCTGCTTGCTTCACAGCCAGACAGGACACGGTTAAAAAAAAAAAAAGAAAAAAAAAGAAGGCCAATTCAATTGTGTTTCAATTTTTATGAAGGAACAAAACCCATTGTCTAAGGAGGTCTCAATTAGTCAAGGAATATAATAAAGGAGGGGTTAAAGCCTTAGACTTTGAAGCGCTATTAAGTTCACTTAGAGCTACCGTATTTTCACGACCATAAGGCGCAACTAAAAGTCTTAAATTTTCTCCAAAATGTACGCTGCGCCCTATGGTGCGGTGCGCCTATTGTGTTGTCGTGAGACGCGAACGTAGAAGACAAGGGGCGTGGCGTGAACGTGCGGACATGAGCGAAGACAGACCTGTGGTCTGAACTGCCTGGTGGACATTTATCCTTCTCATCATCCTTTATTAAAGACTAATAAAAGCCTACTAAACTGCAGCAACAATATATCTGTCCGGATCGCTCCAAAATATGAAGTTTACCGTCAATATCTGTCTAATTGTTTGCTGTTACTCCGTTCGCGCCACTCCTTTCCCCGCGAAGCGGCTACTTTTTGCGCACATCTCGTTACTCGTGCAGCCTTCCTCTCTCTCAGCGACATAATGATACTTTTTATCAACTGAATATGTGAGACTTCCACCAACAGCAAAAGGATCTCATGTTTTTGTGGGTTTTTTATGTTCACAAGCACATTTCCTCTCACGGATTACTAAACTGCTCCATGCTTTCGTTCTTTTTTAAACACAGAAACAGTTTTGTTTACCTGTTTGTAGCTAGTTTCGCCGACGGCTGCCGGCTTCTTCAGGCTGACGCCTGAAGGAGGCAAATGTAAACACACAAGAGCAACAAAAGAAGAAGCAGAAAGTACAATAAAAAAGTCAGCCGTAACAGATCATTGCTTAAGAGAAAACCATATAATGGACTGGGACAACACACGGATCATAACCACCGAACAACAAAAATACAAAAGATGGATCAAGGAAGCAATCGAGATAATGAGACGTGGATGTGGGACCATGAACAGGGACGACGGAGTTTACACGCTGGACCACGCATGGGACTGCATCGTCGGAGAGGGGAGAGCGGGCAGTAGAGCCCCCCCCCCCCCCCCCCCCCCCGATGTGGTCGTTTATCGCACAGAAGACCCAGACAGACGTCAACGACTGAAATCCAGGAGAGATTCATCTGAAGACATCTGTAGTCTTCATGTGGATTGTGTTCCATCAGGTTCTGTTCCAGAGGTTTAATTCTTAAATATTTGAAGCCTTTTTCTCCAAATGTTGCACCAAGCTACATTTCCCGTCTGCAGCTTTACGATTTCTAAGAGTTAAAACAAGCAGGTCTAACTAAACCATTTACAAGAAAAATTCTCTCTCTCAGATTTATTATTTATTAAAAAGACAATAATTCACAGCTGAGGACTGGACAAAAGCAAAAAACTGTGTGTGTGTGTGTGTGTGTGTAAATAAGGAGTCAGTTGTGTCAAAAAGTCATCAAACAGAAATGTCCAACATGATCTGGTGTCATTTCTTCTGGAAGAAGCCCGTGATGGAAGCCTGCTTGGTTCCTTTATGTGAGCTCGATGAAGACTTCTTCTGACTCTTCTTCACTTCCTCTTTGCTGCTCGATGGAAGTTTGGCTTTAGCGTCTCTTGGAGCGTTTTTGGGAGCTGGAACGTCATCCTCGGTCTCAGAATAAGATTCACTTACGTATTCTTTTTCTGTCACTGAGGAGAAACAAAACCCAGTTACATCAACGCAAAAACGCCCGCCCTGACCTACTGCTGGCTTTGGTTACGCTTTTAAATACTTTTAATAAACTTTAAGGTTTATTTAACTGCTTGGTTCATAAATGAAAATATTATTTCATTTTTAAAAAGGAAGTGCCAGATTTCTTTTGTGTGAAAACAAATCAGAAAAAGATGTTTTTCAACATTTGCACATTTCTAGGACACCAGCATAGGAGCTTATTTTAAAACTCAAAGGTCGTAATAATAGTCTCGTTTTTTTTACATATTCGACCAAACTAATTAAAAGATTGCTGCAGGACTAACAGCGTTAATAAAAATGCAGATACCCATGCATCCCTCTTCATCCAGAAACACGCGAGGCTTCAGGACGCGTCTCCTCTTCCTTATTTTCGTCTCAGAATTCCCCTAAAATAAAACCAAACATCATTAAATGAATGAATGAATGAAGTGATGTTTACTAAATATGTGATGCTTATTTAAACTTCAACACACCTGTGAAAGTTGAACAGTCGCTTCCTTCTTAAGAGGACTTGGCTCTCTTGTTTCCAGCGGCTGTGGAGAATCTGGAATAACTGGAAGAAAAAAGAAAATTATTTTTTCAAGGACTTCAAAAATTAATTAGATCTAATATTTACAATCAGGGACACCAAAACAACAAAACTCTCAGAACTACTGCTCTCCAGCCAGTGATGTTTCTGAAACGAACCGTCTTCATCGCTGCTGTCTGGTTCGGGTCTCTTGATTCGTCGCCTCTTTTTTTTTTCCATTTTCTCTTCCTCACTATCAGATGCTTCGATTCGTTTACTTTTGCTGTAATAAAAGAAAAAAAAAGTCATCTTTCACTAAAACACCTTTCGTGGTCTATAAAACAAACGAGTCCTCTCCTGAAGTCGTTCCCTTTTCCCTCCTGGTTTTGAACACAAACCTCCTGGAATCCGTCTTCGTGTCTTTTTGTGGCTCAACGGCTGCAGGTTCTTGTTTTTCTACTGGAGGTGAACTTTGACCCCTCTGCCCTACCGCAGCAGATGACTGAACCTCCTTTAGAGGTTTGTCGGGTTTCTCTGAAGACAAAAAATAATATTCTCACCAATATTGAGTACTTTTATATTATTAAGACAACTAAAGGTTGGGGAGTGAATATTTGCTTTGCTCTTGTGTTCATTATGACAACTATAAATTGGAATAAATGCTATTTGATATTTTTTCTGTGTACTTGTGCTGCTATACATGAACAACTATGTGGAAACATGTTAATACACACAAAACGACCCCACAAAAGAGAAGAGTTACAGTTAAGATGAAACATCTTGTTGGTTATTTGGGAAAAAAAAAGAACTACTTTGTTGTTTTAAGATAATAAAATCTGAAATTTGTGGCCCTTTTTAGATTTAAAACAAATGAAAAATGTTTAAAAACAGATGAAAAGTATGAGTTAAAAGGCCATTTTATCCTTAAACAACAATCTGTCAACATTACTGTTAAAATATAAATATCTATAAACATATAAATATACCGATATCAATCTGATACGATACCAGCACAAATCATACATACATACTTTGACTTATGTCGTAGTGTGGAAAGAATGAAAGGCTTGATCAAGTGATATTACTCAATCCGAGAACAAGAGCCAGCAACAGTAAGTATGAAAAAAAAAATGACAATTTTTTCTTAACCATTGTTTGCAAAAATGTGAACCTTATCGAACTGCTTATATCGGATTAGGGTTGTCACGGTATGAAAATTTAACCTCACGGTTATTGTGACCAAAATTATCACGGTTTTCGGTATTATCGCGGTATTTTTTAAACGGTGTTGCATATGTTCAGAAAGCATTGATAGTCCTGTTCTACACAAACTGAAATAGTTTTGAAAAGGTTTAACAGTGTTTATTAAACCTAAAATAACACAAAGCCTTAGCAAAAGTGCAACTTTTCACAAGTAAAGGAACAAATAGCTTCTTTTTCTGGAACATGTTACAGTAGTCAGTGCAGGTTTAAATTATACAAATCCAAATATTCAAAACATAAACAATATGTAAACAAATCAAAGAAACACCACTTGTTTTCTCTTTTACTTGTTTTCTTCATTATCAAAATGAAAATCTAAAACTCCAGTCCACACTTGACTTGAGCACTGTACAAGTCAACCTTTAAAAAATATGTATTTAAAATAAATAGCCACTTTAAACAAATTACTAAAATAACTACTACACTATGTAATCAAATCCAAACGTTCAAGTATAAATGGCATTGAATAAGTAAACAAATCAATGACAAGGAACTAATTGTATATTTCTCTTCATCATCAACAAATAAGATGCAGGGTGTCCGTGACACGGTTTAAATGCTGGCAGAGGACGCTGCGGCTGCAGTATTTAGTGACTCGTTGCATTCTCCCTCAACCAAAAGTCCTCACGTCATGCATTTCAGCTAAAATGCTAATGTTAACCTACCTTGCACTGGCTGTGGAGACGTGGGTGATCGTCACGCAGATGTGCCATTAGATTCGAAGTGTTGCTGCCTTTTGCAGACACTTGTTTCCTGCACGTTCTGCAAACGGGATAGCCGTCTTCTATTAACTGTCCCTCAGCATTTTTCAGAAATCCCAAATATGCCCATACTTCCGATTTAGTCTTCTTTGAGGGCTGATGGATGTCCTGGGCGCTGCCGTCTCCTCCTTCGGCCATTATTTCAGTTTCAAAGTTTTGGTGCCGTTGCAAACTAAAAAGTGCGTGTGCGCGCCGCGGGAACTTCAGCTGAAGCGACGGTGGCTGGTAAGGGTCAGCGCGCCAAAACCGCGGCCACGGTAAACCCACCGAGATAATATAGTTTTTTAAAAACTGGACGGTTATTTTTATTGTCAACTTTTTTACCGGGGTTTACCGCTATACCGGTTACCGTGACAACCCTATATCGGATATTTTTGATCCCGTCCGATTTAATCCGATACAGTGATTTTGGGCCGATATCGAATTACTTCAGATATCAATATTGGAACGGGACATCCCTAATTAAAAAACAAAATTAATATTAACCAGTTTAAAATGATTTAAAGAAATAAATATTAAAGAGTAAATAAAGGATGAATCACTACAATTGTCATGTGGACTTACTTCCAAAGAAGTTTTCCACTGAGTTGGTCTTAGAAGCTTGTTTGTTTGGGGGGACTTCCAACTAGAATGAAACAAATAGATAAAAATAATTCAATAGATGTCACATTCCCTTCAGTTTAACTGGAAAACGATAGAGAAAAACAAATCTTACCATGGGTGATTCTTCTCTTTGTTCAGGTTTGCTGCTCTCCTGATTCTTTGGTGTAGGTTGTTTTGCAAACATTGCCACAATGCCTTTCTGGGTCTTCGCCGATGGTTTAGAAGCCACGCTTGATCCGCTGCTTACACCCAATTTTTGTGATTCAGGCGCCGATGCAGGAGCTCGCTCAGTTTCCCGTGCCTGCTGCAGCTCCACAGGAGACATCGGCACAGCTTTGGAGCATTGGATCGCGCTGTATCTACACATCAAATAAAGGAACCGTTTAGAGACAAGTCCCAAGAAGCAGATGTTTACAGCTGCAAGGAAACCCAACATACCTGCTGCAGTTTTTTAGATTGTCCTTTAAAGCATCGTAGTCAACATTGTAGAGAGGGCTGCTGTCTTTCAATAAAGCTTTCTGGACGCTGTAGATGTGAACACTCACTATCAAGTTCATTTTGGATTTAAAGTCTGCAGGACGAAAAAATAAATAAATAAACTGAACAAATTCACCCTTTTTAATTGATCCAATGAATTAAAATCTTAAGAGTATAGGACAGGAAATCCTTCATCAAGCTGTGAGAAATAACATTTACTGACCTTCCAGCTGGTCTTCTCTGACAACTGACACCTTGTGGCACTGAAATGCAAATAAATCATGTAACAATCATTTTATCTCCTGTTTAAAAATATGTAGTCAGAGCCAGAAAAGTTATCTTTGCTCACAGTTTGACCTTTGTCGACAAGTTTCCCTGAGACAAGATAGGTAGCATGCAGCTCAGGTGAGCTTTCCTTCCTCTTGTTCTCCAAATAATGATAAAGCATCCTAAAAGTACATTTTAGATGCAATCAGCAACAACAGCTCACTTTTACAGTTGTTTTACAGAAAAAAATCCACAGCGGCTAGGAGTTCAGACTAGAATCTGACATATTTGTGATGAACTTGTAGATGCAATAATTATTTAGGCTCAAACTGTGAAATCTAATTTTTTTCATTTATATGTTTAAACTTGTGGCAGAAACTGGATAACTTACTGTTTTGCTGTGTTGACATGGACTCCGAGAGTGAGACTCAGCCATTTATAAGTTACCTGAAAATAAAAAAGAAAATACAAGATATTATCTGTAATGATGAGCTGGTTCTTGCTATTGAATCCTAGTGTAACACCACTGGTGGCTGTAAAGCTTTAGCTAAAACACATATCGTTAATTCAAACGAACTTTATAATGTAGTTTGAAAGCCGAATGACCCTGAACAACTGTCCAAAATCGCAGCAAGTGATAAATATCGCCTTTTATATAGAATACCGTTGTGACAGCAGTATGATAATCAACAGTCCGAATTTTCAGCGTAATTTTGCTGCTAGCGACCTCGAAGCTAGTTCGCGTTCAACCACTTTAAACCTTTATAAGTTCTACCAAAGCAAGCTGAACACAAGCGGACACATCGCGGGTCAAAATGATTCTTACAATCTTGTTGTGGTCGTTGACAAATTCGTCTATATTTTCCAAATAAAGCTCGTCCATTTTTAACAGGATTTGTTACGATCGACGATGTTAGCTAAAGTAATTTGACTGCGCGGGAATCCAGTTTATTTACTTCCTGTCAGATGTCACGTGTTCGGACACTGTTCCGGTGCAATTCAAATTTACTGGTTGCCCTCTACAGGCCAATGTGCGCTATAGTAGCTTTTCACAGCGATTACGAGGAGAGATGACAATTGAAATCAGTCACTTTTATTTATTTATTTGTTTATTAATTTTAAATGAGTGATTTTGTTTTCTGAGAGATATGTGCATGAATTAGTATTTATGTTCTGTCTCAATCAAAAATCTTTGTGAGAACGTTTCCCTAAGGTTTGATGACTTAAATTGTCCTGCCTCTTTGAGAAAGTTTATAAAAGCAACAACATACAGAGTTACTAATGATCAAAATGCTTTAAAAACTGAACATTTGACCAGTCAAGTGGTGATAAAGTATCCTGAATAAAAAGAAGTTGAACTCTGAAGCATCTGCAGGAGGTCAGCAGCATCAAAAGGAGATTTTAATTATCTGTTTAGGCATAGAAGTTTAGAAGTGTGAAGGAGAAGATTGTTTGTTAGACATAATCCACTGACATGACTGTAAAAGTCACATGAGACAGTAAAGATTCAAAGCACAAGAGCAGCTCTTTGACAGGTTAATTAAAAGCATGAAGCTCTGAGAGCAGCAGTTCATCATTATTCACCTTCATCTGTGCTAGAAACAATAATAATCAGCAACATCCGCACTCCCTCTCTGCATTTTGATGAAAATCTCCAAAAATAATAACTGGATGTAAATCTGTAATCAACTCACGTTTGGCTGCGATAGCTAGTCTCAGTTATCAAACACATAAATGCTTATATCTCAGTCAATTTTACAGATGTTGAGCAACAAATCCACATGGACAGGATTTAGCAGCATTGCACAATATTGCACATAATGAGATTACAACTTCAGTTGTCAATATAACATGGCTGAAGTTGAAATCTGGAGTGAAAGTCTGCTGCACACGTGCATTTCTGTAACCCTCTCAGATAAGTTTTGATAGAAGGTCGGATGTAGCAATATGAATGGCCTCATTTTGTGTCCCAAAGGTCACACTTCCCCAGCTAGGTTGAGCTAGGTCGAGCTGTACATTGGGTGTGTCCGAATCCACAGGAAGGATGCTTATGAGTACGGGTCCTCGCCGGTCTAGCAAGCCCGGGTCCTTGAAGACCGCTAAAATCGGAAGTCAGCGGCTCTGAATTCGGACAGTCTGGCCTTCACCTCTACGGTGGCCCGTAGGTCCCGTCACAGCCGTGGCGGCGGCTACACGCAAAGGAAAAATGCTAAAGCTAGCGAAAACCGAGCAGGAATATTAAGGAGCTACAGCAGCTTCACGTCCATCAGCAGCGTTTGTTCACAACCGTTTGCTGGTAAAGTAACTTTGTTTATTGTAGAAGCTTTCAGGACTTACATGTTAACTTTAGATGGTTTCATGTATGTTTTAAGCTACAGAATGAACTTGTTAAACGTACACAACACATTACTACAGATATTATCATGAGGGAATTAATATAAACCAAATGCATTATAAATGTTGAATGCAGTAGGATGTTTTCTAATGTAAATTGGACCTTAGAACATATTTAGCACCAAATGAGGGTAAAACGTTTTCAAATAACAGGCTTTTTAATAAAATAGCATTGAACTGTTTTCAATGTGCATTTGTTTATTCAACTTAAGCCCAATAATGATTAGATTTGTCTTAAAAATGTAAATTCTCTGTAGTTTTCCCTGCTGCTTCTCTTTAAACCGATCAGAACCAGTGTACTGCAAGTTATATGTTTTGTTTTACATTTTTCAATTAAAAAAACATTTTTTTTAAATCTATTACAGGTCAGCATGCACTGTGCTGCACATCTGCATCTGTGCGGGTGAAGTTGTGGGTCTGGAGGATGAGCCTGAGGAAGATGTGTGTGGAGGAGGTCAGTGGTGCTCTGTCCTGCAGGAGGTACCAGCAGACCACCACTACTGTTAACAGGCAAGTCATTCACAGAGACGTAACAGCCTTCGTCTGAGTCAGCCCAGCAGTCTCTGCAGATGGACGATGGAGTGGACAGTGAGAGGAAGCGTCCCAAAGCTTTCTCTGCAGATGTTCCTCTGGCCAGAAACGTCCAGCCACGGGTAACTGTAACCTGACTATCCAGATTAACATTATCAGAATTAGTAATCATTGAATCAGTTGATTATGAGTCCACCATAAGATTTATCTCAGTTTGTATGTCATCATAGGCTACCTCCATTGGTTTGCCCAACTCCTCCATATTCCTGACATGCAACACCTTCGCTTGTTCAGGAGTTCCCTTCAGTTTGATATATATTTTCCAGTTTGAAGCTTCAGTCAGAGCAGGAGATGATGGATTTTTAGATTATTATTGGATAAAAAACCAGGGGTTTGTTTGTTTTAAGGGATAAACCAATTCTGATGAGCGGTGAAAAAAATGCATCAAAAGAGTTTTAACAGAGCTTTTCTGGTGTTTAACTGGTTTTAAAGCTGAACTTTTCTGCATTGTTTGGGAGTTTCACCAAATTGCAGAAACTGTTATAAAACGTTCAAGATTCCTTCTGTAATGTCCAGAAAGGGTCATTTTTCACCTACATATTGACCTACATGCCACCGGTCATCTGCAGACATAATTCCATTCTCTAAAGTGGATTTTAAATTCTATCTTCCAACAAGCCAGAAGATTCTGCAGTCCTTGTTGACATTTCAGGGGGACAAGATGTCAGCCTATGTTCCCAATTAAAGCTTTCTTTTGATAAGACTGCAGGATTGCACACTCTCATGAGAGATGAACTTTCACAACTGTTATGGAAATTTTATGTTTATTAACTCTTGATCATTGACCCAATCAACTGAACGTAATATGTATCGCTCTATGACTCTTTGCATGCCACTTATTCAGACACACACACACACGCACACACACACACACACACACACACACACACACACACACACGCACACACGCGCGCACACACACACACACACACACACACACACACACACACACACACACACACACACACACACACACACACACACACACACACACACACACACACACACACACACACATTCTTGACCCAACCCCCACCCCCCCCACCCTCTCTCTCTCTTTCGACTTGGTTTTCTACATTTTAGCTGAAGTTAGAAATGCAACTCTGGTGTGAGAAATAAGGAAACCAGTGTGGTGACAATGAGGTTCTAAAGTGTTGACTTCCGCCTTGAATAGGATGGTTTGACAGGTTCCTGCAAATTACAACAAAATAGCCATTTTCGCTCCGAACCGTTCTTTGGTTTGACGTTGTTTCAGCTGTCATCAAGGATATAAAAGTTACAGATACTTTGAATGTTACTGGTGTGGAGCTCACCTTGTAAGATGTCTGACTCATGCAGAAAACCTGGGTTCGATTGTGGGAGTTTCTTTTTTACATTAATGGTATATTTTTTTACAGTAAGATGCCCAAATTTTTATTTGAGACTCGCCGAACGGCATTGAATTCACAGAAAAAAAAGATGTGGGTTCAACTTTCATTTTGGAACAATTTTTCAAGCAAGGGAGGGGAATGATCTGAGCATGCACGATGACTGACCCATCATAAACCTTTGTCGGCTGTGCTGAAGAGAACGGTACAGAACCAAATTATTTAATTAATTAGCTGCGTGTTCTCCTGTCCTCTGTCCTCCGGGCCACACGCACACAAATGGGACTGTCTCAGCTGTTATTTTCGTTAAGGAGTGTGCACGTACACCATGCACGTCTCGTGCACGAGCCTACTATTGAAGCTGCCGTTATGCTTTTGTCTTCTTAAACTTTTGCTTTGCACTGTCTTCCTTTGGAAAAGAGAAGGAAACTCATCCGTGGGTAATCCTGTTGTCTAGTAGCTCCGGTTTGGGCCAACTGAAAGCAATAAGTGCAATCAGGGGCTGTAAACGAGATGTTTCTCCCCTCCCTGAAAACACTCATCAGGTGATCTAGGTCTCAATCATTGCAATCAGCTGCTGCATGAACACCTGTTTCCAACTAGTGGCACAGCATAAGTTTGGTGGCATAACTGAAGCGTTAGCGGAAGCGTCAGCCCTTGTGTCTCAGCCCCTCCGATGTGAAGACACTCTGGGGTAAAGACATACGTGTCTACCTGCGTGTGTCCACAGAGCAGGTACACAGACCAAACAAACTCGACCCAGACGCTGCTCCATCGACACCTTGCAAAATGCGCCATCATCATATACCTGTGATCACTGGCTTCAGAGGAAGGTCACACACAGCAAACCGCTTTTGCAACCTTCAAAACCTCCGCTCACTAAAACCAACTCCCCCAAAGACATCCATCTGTCTATGGGACTGTGGAACTGCCAATCAGCTGTAAACAAAGCAGACTTCATTACCGCATATGCAAACCACCTGTCACTCGATGCACTGGCTCTCACTGAGACCTGGATCAAACCATGTGACAATGCTACCCCATCCACACTTTCTCCCACATTTCTCGTGCATCTGGCCGAGGTGGTGGAACAGGCCTGTTAATTTCCAACAAATGGATATACAGTGAGTTGCTACCAATCACTAAATACAACTCCATTGAATACCATGCCGTCCAGGTAACTGTACAGAAAAAATTCTTTTTGGTTGTCATATATCGCCAACCAGGTCAACTCAGAGACTTTCTTGATGAACTCGACACCCTGCTCTCCTCCAGTCCTGAGCACGACTGTCCCACAATGGTCCTTGGAGACATGAATATTCACCTGGACAATCCCAGCTCATCAGGCTTCCTGTCACTAATGTCATTATTTGATCTAAAACTAGTACAAAGTCCTCCAACTCACAAAGCTGGAAAAGCACTTGACCTCATTTTCACCAGAAACTGTGCCATAGACACAATCTCTGTCACACAGCTGCATCTTTCCGATCATTACTTCATCAATTTCAGCACGACTTTACAAGGGAGGTCCACTGCTTCCTCCCCAGTGGTCTCATTCCGCCGCAACCTCCGCAATCTGGCACCCAACCACTTCTCCTCTCTTGTTGC